AATCTTAAGTTTAGATAGGAACTTATGATATAATTCTTTTATGAACTACGTTTAAATAAACCAACTTCAACCCCCACATTTTTTGAAGTCGGTTAATTAATACATTAAACCTTCTCCTAATTAAAACAAACACTTTTCTGAAAACCACATCAAAATCGGTTCAGCCAGTCGCGAAATAATCGCGCTTAACATACCTACTTACAACAACAATCAAAATTATAACCTCATTATTTTTTTGAAGTCGGTTGAAAATCGATCGATTTGTATCAGTTACCTATTAGCTTTAGCCACAAACTTGAATATAATATTAAGAACTCAACGACTACACAGCCCATTGAACTTGAAGAAAACCAAATAAGTATGTACAAATTATATTAGGGAACATACTGTAGTTAACCGTTTATCTCAGTGCAGCACAACGGCGTGAATTAATTTAAGTACCGACATAAATATATTCACTCCACATAAGCACCACACATTATACCCATGAATATACGGTCTCCGGCCACCATAAGCGCGGGCCTGCGGACGGCGAGCATGGGTGGCTTGCCGCCCGACCAGAACCAGACCCGAGCGTACGGCGCGTTGCATTCTGCGCGCAATAGGGCTGATGCCAATACGGAGCCCCGGAGAATCTAACGGGTTACCGGGGCTCCTTGAAGTGTAGGAGTAGGAACGGGGTGGCTTTTAGTCAGTAAGAGTCTGGCACTCCCTCCCGCCGCACCCAGGCGGGAGAAGTCCTTCGATAATTTTCCACCCTTAAAAAAATACCTCATGGGTATTTTTTGGATATACATGATATAAATATAAAACTGCAGTGTAAATAGTTATTTTTTTATCTAGAATTATCATCTGTAATATATTCAATACCCGTGGAGTACATATACATATATTTTTAGGGGGAAGTCTCCCAGTGGCAGACACCTAAGATTTTTGTAAAAATTGAATCGCTCGTGTTATCAGTTATCGAGGTAATACAAGTGTCCGGCGTAAGTTGCCTTCCGGCGTTACGGGACTTTCCCCTACATAAAACTTTGAGTTTCCCCTACATAAAACACCACAGACGAAATAGTGTAATAATCAGAACAGTAAGTATAATTAAAGCCAAAAAACTTTTATTCTCGTACACTGAGTACGCAGAATTGAAACAGGAAAAACATAAAAAAAACCAAAACAATTGCCAACAAAACCACAAAATTCAGTTTACATTTCAAACTAGTCATGACATTTAAAAGGTAAGGTTAAATAATATAAGGAAAGGAGTTTTTTTAAATGATTCTTTGATTGAGTACTTAATGGCCGTAAAGTAATTATAGAGAAAACGGATAATTCCGTCCTTTAGAACAATGATGACAATAATGTAACAATTAATAATTATTATACGTATTATGTGTAAATCTCAAGGCAAACCACGAAGGGCAGATAACATAGTTGCCTTAAAAAAGGTCATTTAATTATATTGTTTTTTTTTATATTGATGTGACTGTGATCGTATCTCGTATGCCTTGTTTGCACGACGCTAGTAATTTAGTCAAGTTGCGAATATTTAATAATTCTCTCTCACTTGCATTTTGGGACATAAGCGAGAGAGGACTACTGAATATTCGTTACTTGACTAAAATACTTGCGTAGTGTGAACAAGGCATTACTGGGAGGGGTCGCTTGGTCGAGTTAGGCATGGTTTTGTGCATTAGGTCGATTATTCGTAAATCTTAAAATTGTAGCCGGTGTATCACATGGGATTAACAATATTATCATAATTATCTAGTGAAAATGACTGCCTCGTTGGCAACTACCGGGCAATGGGTCTCGGGTTCGATTCCCGGGTCGGGCAAAGTATTACTGAGTTTTTAAAACATTCTCAGTAGTAGCACGGAGTCTGGAATTGTGCCCGGTATATGGCAATAGGCTTACCCCCTATTACACGGGACCTACCTCTACTTACCCCTTCGGGGATAAAAGTCGTGATGTTATGTTATGTTATCTGGGGAAAAGTGCAGTTTGGTCAAAACACTAACAATCTAGCCGTGTTGAAAGTCACTTATTATTTTAAGACGAACGATAACAAATGGTTATACTTCTTAAGGTGTCACTTACTAACATACCTAAACAAAAGTTATTTGCAAACAAACATAGTATAAATCTTTTGTATACATAAGAATTTTATATGAATAGTTTATGTGGTCATAGAATACTTATCAGATAAAAGATTGCTAGAAAAAGGCCACGCAAAATACTTCTAGTTTATGATGTTTTCAGTCAACATAAATTTAAAGATAAGTTAAGCGTCTTAGTTTACAAAAATATATTATTATCATAGGCTGGCATGGGCTGATGCCTGATACGAAGCCGCGGAAGGCCTAACGGGTTGCTAGGGTTCCGGCTCGAAGAGCAGGAGTAGGAACAGGGTGGTTTTTTTTTTGTCAGTAGGTAAGAGTCTGACACTCTCTCTCGCCTCACCCGGGCGGGAGAAATAATTGGATGATGCTTTTTTATATACCACGACGGTGGCAAAAAAAACACACGGCCCACGGATGATGGTAGGCGGTTACCGTGGCCTATGTACGCCTGCAACACTTGGGGCATTACATGCGTCTTGCCGGCCCTTAAGAAACCTATTCACTCCTCTCTTGAAGAACCCCATGTTGTAACCAACTGGGAAAACCACGGCAGGGAGTTCATTCCACAATAGGAGGGTCCATTCATTCTCCCGCGAAAAAAAAATATCATGGGCAACTTCAAATAGTAAGAAATAGGAGCTGTCTTTATAAGACTTGCTAAGTTCTGTTACGAACATAATTATTCAAATTATAATCAACTAGCTTTTACCCGCGGCTTCGTTCGCATCACAAAAAGATAAAAAGTAGCGTATGTGACATATACCAATACACACAGCGCCATCTATACCAATACTTTTGTTTTTCCTCGGGAATATCAATTTTTCCGGGTTAAAAAGTACCCTATTATTTAATCCGGACTTCTAACTTTACGTCTGCAAAAATTCAAAGCAATCGGTTTAGTAGTTATGGCGTGAAAGTGGAACAAACAAACAAACTCACTTTCCGATTTATAATATTAAGTAAGGATTTAAAATATTACTTATCCAGTTTTTCCATCTCGATGGTAAATCAAACCAGAAACTTTGCTGTTGCGTTATGGTGACCACTCAATCAACGAGACAGATTAAAAACTTTCATTGTAAAGGTGACATGTTATGCAGCATGTAACAACTACTTATAATTACACCTACTTACAAACGAGTACATACAGAGGTATACATATAACTTTGTAGAAAGTATGCGGAAGGTCTCTGTACCAGTTTCAAGGCGTAACTTAACTGTAACTTGAGTCTTACTAGTAATTTTATATCTTTTAAAATGTCTATCATTAGGTTAGATACGTACTCTTGGAGAAGGCCGGTAACTTAAGTTAACTTTTAAGATATTTCACTTGTGAGTAGCTTTTGTATATTGCCACTAGGTACATTTATTATTAACTTGTGCGCGCAGCATTGCTCGCATTCCCGTGGATTAAAAAGTACCTTAAGTGTCATCCCAGGCCATAACCCTGTTCCAAATTTTATACCGATCCCTTCAGCTGTTTGGACATGTAATAAGTATACGCCACATGCAAAAACGGTTCGAAACCTACCAACGGCAATTAACAATGTACTTTTTCCGAGTTATATGTACTTTCTAAGATTATCTAGACACCATTGACAAACGGTGAAGGAAAACATCGTGAGGAAACTTGGACTTAGTATAGTTAGTTTGAAATTACTTATCCTGGTCAGTAATTTCACCTGCTATTCAGTAATGGCCAATTATAGGCTATTGATCATGAATCAATGTGTAAAGTGATAGTTTAATGCAATGAAAATGATTGCATGAAACAATGAATACAAGAGGAAACTGAGAAACTAAACTAAATAGGAGACTTGATGTAAAGACAGACAGACACTTCTGCTTACCTTACAATGTAAAAGAATATTAACAGTAAGTAATTCAATTCTGTTCGCGTGTCAGTAACAATCTTAGTACCTAACTATGTAGTGGTATAATCCTAGATAATAGCTATAAAACGATGCTTCAAATAGTGCAATTTAGTACCAAACGATTGTTTTTTAAACATACCATCACACCATTTTATCTTCAAATGGATAGGCATAAGTGCACGTAGTACTAAATACCCACTTTATTCTAGTTATGTTATGAGTCCCTTAATGTAATAGGGGGTGAGTTTATTGCCATTAACCGCGAATACAATTAGTGAGGAAAATAAAATAAATATCATGTTTTGTTAAAATCGGGAATAAAACAGGAAATCCCCCCTCGGTTATCTCACTTCTGCCAACTCGACTAACGAAGCATTCAACAATAGGATACTTTTACCTACGTATGCAAATGTAAAAAAGTGAAACGTAATCTTATTAAAATAGCTTAGATAATAATAAGTTACTCATTATTTATTTTAAAATATTATGAGGCGTTGAAAGATTATTATTATAATAACAAATTTAATAATACTTAAAACACGTAACAATGTTGCGATTATGCGGGTATTAAGTACCTATTTTAAAATTCATAATGTGTGCATACCTTCACATATCTTTGAATTTATAGAATTTACAGAAAAAGATAAATTCCATATTAGATTCGGACCAAATAAGTAATTTAAATTATCATAAAGTCTTCAAAAACCGATTTTGTTTACATAATTATACACGTAAACAAATTTTCTAAATTCACAAACATACGCCTAAATGATAAACAAACTTATTCCACTATCAATCTCTTTTAAAGAAAACACAAAATTAATTACGTTAAACAAAATGTTTAGTAAACATTGACAACATATTAAAAAATAAACACAACGTAAAAAAATATAAACTACCACCACGAAGAATATAACAAAACACACGCAAAAGAAAGAATCTACATCTTAACAGGCAATTAATTTCGCAAAAAAAAACTAATTAAAAAAGTAAAATTTCGGCTAACCTGAGCACTCAGTACCGTTGACCTTAAACCTGATGCGGTCCATGACTGTATCTTACAAGCCCATGTAACAAACTGACTGACGAATAAGCAATCTGAAAGTACCAGTACCTATATAACCAGTGAGCAAACATACGCGGTCATCTTTTGAACGTGAACGCCATGTGCCTTTGTTACATACGAGGATTTGATTGGTTGCTACGAGTGGCGTAATTAAGTAATAATATTGTAAATATTTACTTAAATTTGAAATGTAAAAAAACAATTTTTAAAACAGTTCATTTACTCAGAAGTTAGCTGCCACACAATAACAAAAGCCTTCTTTTTGCGTTCGCTATTCAAAATTCGAACTTAACACAGGTACCTAGGTAATTGCTTAGTAATATAATATTTATATGGAAGCAACTATCATCTATTCTCCAAAACTCGAAACGAATACTATTTTATAGATTAGGCGCCACGTCATCATCCGTCAAACCATAATTATTCCATTGCCACTACTAAGAAAAGTACCTTCGCACCCGGTGACGAGGTAGATCCCTAGCTAGATTAGGATTTTAACTATACTTGACCAAAAATACTGCCTGTAACTAAAATACTAGTACATAGTGCGAACAAGGCATTTTTTTAAGGGTGGAAAATTTTCGAATGGCTTCTCCCGCCTGGCTGAGGCGGGAGGGATTGTCAGACTCTTACTGACTAAAAACCACCCCGTTCCTACTCCTGCACGTCGAGCCGGAGCCCCGATAACCCGTTAGGATCTCCGCGACGCGAACAAGGCACAAGGCTATTAGTATCAATGTATCATTATAAGACAATATTTTTTAAGTAAAAATATATACCTACCTATCAATCACAATGCCTTTGTGTTAACTAGTGCATTGAGACAATACTTAATAACATTGTATGCTATTTAGTTTTTGTGTAAGGTAATGTCGGACATATGACGTTGTAAGATGGTGCATAAGGTAAATGATATTGTCAAAATGCATCGTAGTTGTGTGGTGTGTTATCATTAAAGAAATAACATGGGTAGGTAACTAGTTAAAAGTGAATATGAGTTTTTTGGTTATACATAAAAAAATTGATTAATGCACAAAATCTACTCAAAGAATGATGTCAGATTAGGTTATTATTTAAAGGTGACTCTTATCTATATGCTTAGTAATTACAAGTAGGTAGTACTTACATACATTGTTATATTTCTATAAATACAATCCCAGCAACATTTATCATGAGTAAGCGTTTGACCCTGTCGACGACCGCGTCAAAGCAGTGACCGTATGTTTTCAACAAACAAGATCTGGATCGATCACAGAAAATTATCGTCCGCAAATACATTAATAATAAAAATTTAATTAATTAAGGATCTTTCCATTTCAAAATTTTATTTATTTTCGTACTTGATGCAACCAAAAACGCAAAACCAGTTTTTAAAAAAGAAAAATAAACTTTTGAAGTATGTTCGTCATTGTTGTATATTTTTAGCTTTAATTGCCTAATTTTTTCACTTATTATTACATTCGTTGGTAAAAATTCCAAATTATTTTTGTTTTACAGGATTATAAGCCTTATTGCAATGAACTGATATGTTTATATTGCATGATTAAAGTGAAAGTGTTGATCAGTCTTCGAGATGCGGGTTATAAAACGAAGCTGCTCTAAATGCATTATGGTGCACTCAACCATGTATATACATTACAGGGTAGAATTTTGTATTTCCACCTGAAGGGGAAGTACTTTTTTTTAAACGTTGCCCCACACTATGATTTTCTCCTGTGTCGTGGGTGCGTTTACAAACACACAAGTTCACATACACATGACACCCAGACCCGAAACAACAATTTGTGGATCACACAAAGTGTTGTCCCGTGCGGGAATCGAACCCGTGACACGTTGCACAGCAGCCGGTTGCCCAGCCACCGCACCAACCGTGCAGATACTTAAGTATTGAGATATTAATTATAAGATTAAATACAGTACTCTTAATACTTAAGATAAAAAAAAATACTCAAAGAAAACATTCCTTTATTTTCGTAAAGAAACAAAGCTGTATTCAAAGATTTTTAAATGCCTTGTACGGTAATCGAACCGATTAAAATCTGTCAAAGTTTGCACCCTGTACTTTTATTGCATCAATCGTTCATTGTTTTCCTTTCATTAAATTTATGAAGTTTGATAAAAAGAGATTTCATCCTTATTGACCGTAACAATGGAAATTCCACCCTGTATAAACATGAATAAGGTACTTATACATACTTATATTACATTATGCATAACTTGGAATGCGAATTTACTTTCTTTCTTAACCAGATCAAGGTCAGGAGATGGTTTAAAATACTTTGGATATATCAATATTGAGTTTCTGTCCTGTTTCATTACAAAAAAAGTTTTTTTTATAGCATTTGCCGGTAAACGGGCAAACCTGATGGTAAGCAATCGGCGTTGCCCATGGACACTTGGAACACCAAGGCGTTACAAGTGTGTTACCGGCCTTTTGGGAATTGGGTATTTGAGGATTGTGGAGGAGCAAGACTCCTCCTCAACTATCAATTTTAGGGCATTTAATACTGACTGCTTCGTAACTCCTCATCATCAGCAGTCTAATTCCTTCCAAAGCTGGATATGGGCGTGTTGTTGTATAGCATTGAACTTGATCGTCATGCCTTTATTTATTTATTTATTTAAGGGCAACTAACAAAGCATATACCAAAATACATGATAGGTTTTTTAACACATTTTAACACTCTATAGTGTACCCTTAATTAAAGGCTGCCACGACATGCATAATAAAAAAAGAACGGGATATTACAACAAAAAGTTCGCTCATCAAAAAAAAGACACCATGTTAAATCACAATTTATAGATCGAATTTTAAAAATTTAAATTTTTAAACTGTTTTATTTTATAAATATTGTAAAATTTGTTTTGAATGGTATATATAGTGCAGTTTAACTGGAGGACAGTTTTCACTTTGAAAAGAGAATAGGACATGTCAATATCCACATTAACTGAGCATGACAGGCGACTAAATTGTTCCTGTATTCTATTCATTGAGAAAAAATGACCCAGACTTGTTTTCATCCAACTACTGCTTGCCTTGCCATGCGAATATTGTCACTTTGCGATATCATCAAGAATTGTGAACCTTAAGCGGCACATGTACCCAAGTAACCTTACTGGTAATTATATGTTTGAGCCTTTTCAGGTTGAGACCTTATGTCCGTTGGGTACAAGTACCCATAGTCTGTTTAAGAGTATATCAAAACGCCTGGTCGTCGTATTTCGTGAACAGAGGGCTGGTCTGTTCCTCCTGTTCTGTATCCCCGAAGTGGTAGGCAGAGGTGCACATTATGCCACTGTACAATGTAACACTCACTTTTTACTATTTATGTTATGAGTCCCATGTAATAGGAGGTGAGCCTATTGCCATAAACCGGGCACAATTCTAGACTCCGTGCTATTACTGAGATCTTTTTTTTAAACCCAGTAATATTTTGCTCGACCCAGGAATCGAACCCGAGACCCCTTGCCCGGCAGTCGCACTTGTGACCACTAGGCCAACGAAGGCAGGCTTCAGTTAATCTAATAACGTTGAATCAAAATAGATCATTACTATCATAATACTAGACTGTAATGTCGTGTTTCAAATGACCTCAAAATACTGAAGAATTGTTTAAGAACAATCGTCTATCTACAGAAATAGACAAAAGAATATAATTTAAACTGTATATGCAATAGAAAGTACTGTCTATGTATCATTTCCATTTGTATATAGACAATACAGTTTATACAATAGATATATACTTACTTACGTACATCTTAGATTGTATTTACGAATGAAGAATGATTATTACAGGCAAATACACATTTTAACACGCAGTTTTATCAGTTGTGATATAAAATCCTATGTAATTGGAGATAACCATATTACAATACACCGGGTACGATTTCAAACTTTGTGCCATTACTGAGAATTTTTACCTCTTTCACCAAAAGGCCAAATCCTTTCAACCCGATCAAAACCAATCGATCCCGATACTCCTTGCTCGGTAGTCATACTTGTAACAACTCGGCGAAGAGTTTTTTTATTTTTTTATGGGGTGAAAATCATCGAATGACTGCTCCCGCCTGGATGAGGCGGGAGGGAGTGTCAGACTCTTACTGACTAAAAACCTATCCTTCTCCTGCACGTCGACCCAGGGCCCCGGTAACCCGTTAGGTTCTCCGCGACTCCGAATCGGTATCAGCCCTGTTGGGACCCCATCCGTGGTGGTCTGATGCTTCTTTGAGACGCGCGCGGAACGCGATGTCGGCAAAGGGTTAGAGTCGTTTTTTCCAACGGCTGTTAAATTTTAACTGAAGAATAACTTTGAATATTTGACAATTCTTCCATACTAAATACAAACTGTCAAATGTCAATTTTATTCTAAAGTTAAAAAATAACTGATTATTGTATAATCGGTACTTATAAAGTAGTTTTACCGGATATACTGTAACTATTGAAATGACAAATAAAACAGTCGGAACAAAAGTGCAATGACGACTGTGAAGGACGAGGTTCGATTGTGGATAGCGTAGGTCCGGGTATTGTGTGTGATGATATTTGGATAGCCATCAAATTTGTGACTGAAGTTAGGATATTATCGTAATCATCACCGTCATCATCAAAATACACGTTAGGGAAATCAACATTAGCTAGTCTGAACTCTCATCTCGTTGTTCCTTTTTAAAGACCGGCAAGGTCGTATTAGGGTTTTTAATAGGGTAGTTTCCTAAATTTTATTTTAATGTCCGCCTGGTAGATTATTTTAAAATATTAGACACGTATTTTTTCTTTTCTTACAAAATTCAATGCTTTCGACGATATATTGATTTGAAATATCGTGTGACGTCACAGCGTGCTACAAAATGTAGCACATTATGACGTAAAGACCTCCCACTTCTAAACTTAACTCCATTTTATTTAACTTTATACGAAAGAATAACAAAAATACGTGTCTAATATTTTTTCATTATCTAACTGACGGACTAATTATATTTTTAATTTTCTTACCCTGGAAACTACCCTATTGTAATGGATCACTTCGGGGGTAATAAAATTTTGCCCGATCAATAAAACTCTACAAAAATCTCGCTGCATATATTTG